TTATGGGGTTCTATTTGAGGCTGAGCTCTGCTTTGGGGTTCTATTGAGGCTGAGGCTTTGCTTTGGGTTCTGAGAGCTCTGCTTTGGGGTTCTATTGTGGCTGAGGCTCTGCTTTGGGGTTCTATTGTGGCTGAGGCTCTGCTTTGGGGTTCTATTTGAGGGGCGGAGGCTCTGCTTTGGGGTTCTATTGAGGCTTGAGGTCTGCTTTGGGGTTCTATTGAGGCTGAAAGGCTGAGGCTCTGCTTGGGGAGGCTCTATATGAGGCCGAGGCTTCTGCTTTGGGGTTCTATTGAGGCTGAGGCTCTGCTTTGGTTTAGGGGTTCTTTTGGGTTCATTGAGGCTCTGCTTTGGGGTCTATTGGGCCGAGGCTCTGCTTTCGGTTCTATTGAGGCTGAGGCTCTGCTTTGGGGTTCTAATTGAGGCGGGTTGCTTTGGGGTTCTAATGAGGTGAGGCTCTGCTTTGGGTTCTATTGAGGCTGAGGCTCTGCTTTGGGCGTTCTGTTGGCTGAGGCTCTGGGCTTTGGGGTTCTATTGAGGCTGAGGCTCTGCTTTGGGGTTCTATTGAGCGAGGCTCTGCTTTGAGGCTCTGTTTGTCTATGAGGTGAGGCTTGCTTTGGGGTTCTTTGAGGGCCGGGCTCTTGCTTTGTGGGGTTCTATTGTGGCTGAGGCTCTGCTTTGGGGTTCTATTGTGGCTGAGGCTCTGCTTTGGGGTTCTATTGTGGCTGAGGCTCTGCTTTGGGGTTCTGCTGTTGTGGCTAAGGCTCTTGCTTTGGGGTTCAATGAGGCGAGCTCTGCTTTGGGGTTATGGAGGCTGAGGCTCTGTTTGGGTTTTATAAAGCGAGGCTCTGCTTTGGGGGTTCTATTGAGGCTGAGGCTCTGCTTGGGGTTTTCTATTGAGGCTGAGGCTCTGCTTTGGGGTTCTATTGAGGCTGAGGCTTGTTTGGGTTCTATTGAGCGAGGAGCTCTGCTTTGGGGTTCTTTGTGGCTGAGGCTCTGCTTTGGGAGGTTTATTGAGGCTGAGGCTTGCTTTGGGGTTCTATTTGAGGCCGAGGCTCTGCTTTGGGGTTCTGTGTGTGGCTGAGGCTCTGCTTTGGGGTTCTATTGAGGCCGAGGCTCTGCTTTGGGGTTCTATTGAGGCTGAGGCTCTGCTTTGTGGTTCATTGAGCTGAGGCTTGCTTTGGGGTTCTATTGTGGCTGAGGCTCTGCTTTGGGGTTCTGTTGTGGCTGAGGCTCTGCTTTGGGGTTCTATTGAGGCCGAGGCTCTGCTTTGGGGTTCTTATGACGGCGAGGCTCTGCTTTGGGTTCTATTGAGGCCGAGGCTCTGCTTTGGGGTTCTTTGTGGCTGAGGCTCTGCTTGGGTTCTATTGGGGGTTGTATTGGTTCCATTCTTGAGGCTCTGCTTTGGTTTGATGGGGTTCTATTGAGGTTGCATTGATGTTCCTTTGTGGTTCGGTTCTGCTGGGGTTCTACTGTGGTTCCGTCGATACTGTGGCAGGGTTCGATCGGGGCTCCACTAGATTCCGGTGTCATTCTGTCGCGGCGATGGCTTGGACTTCGATCGTGGTTCTGTTGAGAGTGTTGGAGTCTGTTGAACCTGCTTTGGTTCTATTTCAGTTGAGATTGTTGGGGTTTAACTGCGGTTCTGTTTAGACTTCCTTGGGGTTTTATTGCGGTTGTCTTGCGGTTCTAAGTGAGTGTGTTTTTTCAAGCCTTGAAACACTGAAGAGTTTCGATAGATATGAGTGTGTCTGTACGTTATAATGAGTGATGATAATTGCAGGAATATGTATATGTGTATTTACAGATTCAAATGTATTCACACATATTCTTGGTACTTCCTTTTCCCCCGCCCCATACATACACTTTTTTTCTTTTTTCTTTTAAGAAAACATAAATGCACACATACAGGGACACACACACACGCACACTAATACATAATTCACACTCATTCACACACACACACTGATACCATGCATTCACCCCCGCACATACACATATGCACACACACGACCTTAAAATACATACACGAACAAACACACACACGCGCACAAACACACCTACTTACGCACACACTTTCAATACACTTACACGCACCATCTACTCCCATTCACCCTCCCAATCGCCCTTCCAATCACCCTTCCAATCACCCTTTCAATAACCGTCCCAATCACCCAATCACCCTCCCAATCACCCTTCCAATCACCCTTTCAATAACCGTCCCAATCAACCCAATCATCCCCCAATCACCCTTCAATCACCCCACCCCAATCACCCAATCCCTCCCAATCACCCTTCCAATCACCCTTCCAATCACCCTCCCAATCGCACCTGCAGAGACACCGACTACAATCCTGGCTTCTTCAGCCTGGTTCGCGAAGCTTCGACCAGAAATGAGGTCGAATTCACTGTTGTGAGCTTGTCTGAGGATTATTTATTTATTTTATTTATTTATTTTTTAGCTAATATTTCATTTATTTTACTAATATCACCATTATTTTTTGTCGTCACGTTTATCAGCGTTATTATCATTAGCTTCGTCTTTACTACCATTATCATCTTTGAATGCCATTTTCATATCTTCAATAATCTCATAAATTTTCAACTTTTATAAATGATTTAATTGTTATCTTTCATACTCTTAAAAATATCTATAATTATGTGATATTTCCCCCTCTAAAAATCCAAGGAAATTAGAGAAACAAGAAAAAGTATTCGCGGGAACATAAAATGAAGAGAAAATTTTACATAAAAGGAAGAAGGAAAAATAGAGATTTAAGAGAAAGAGAGAGAGAGAGAGAGAGAGAGAGAGAGAGAGAGAGATTGGTTTGTAGGGAAAAGAAAGCAATTTGATACTATTATCGTCTTTCCTTCATTTGCAGTTTGATAATCATCATGATGAGAATGATATTAGTAACAATAGCAATGTTGATACTACTAAAAAGGATAATGATGATAATGATGATAATTATATTACTGCTACTACTAATAGTAGTAATAGTAGTAATAGTGCTAATTATAATAAGGATAACAATTGTAAAAGCAACAATAGTAATAATGATGATGTGATGATAAGAATAATGATGATAATAAGGATGATTATGATAGAAGATTTAGTTTTTTATAGATAATAATAGGAATAAAGATGATGATAATGATAATAATAATGGTGATAACAATAATAACAATAATGACAATAGTGGTGGTAATAGTAATAATGATAATGATAAGAATGATGGTGAAAATGATAAAAGGAATGATAATGATAGCAATAGTAGTAATAATGATATTACTAATGATTGAATAATGATGATAATAATGATGAAAAATGATAATAATAAAAATCATTATAATAAAATCATAAAGATAATAATAGTAAAATGAATGAAAGTATAAAACATGATAAGGATAAAAATGCTCATAATAAAAAACAATAACGATCATAAAAGTAACATTAATGGCAATGATAATGATAATAACATCAATAACAATGATAAAGAAAATAACCAAAAAAAAAAAAAAAAATACATAACTGAACGTGACCTGAACACATTTCTGTTCACGTTCTGTTCATCATCACTGATTGAAATGCCAATAAATATTCCAGCAAATGAAATGGACAAAGTCATCCTGATTGACTGAAATTGAGAAGCGAGTCTGACTGATCGACTAATTAGCTTGTTAGGATGATTAGCTGTAGAGATTGGTCAATTGGTGGAAGTGTAAAGAAATGAGACGGATAGACATAGATAGATAGAGAGAAAGATAGGGTAAGAGAGGAAGAGAGAGAGAGTGAGAGTGAGAGAGATGAGAGAGAGAAGAGAGAGAGAGAGAGAGCAGAGAGAGAGAGAGAGAGAGAGAGAGAGAGAGAGAGAGAGAGAGATGAGTGAAGAGTGAGAGAAGAGAGAAAGAGAGAGAAGAGGCCGAGGGAGAGAGAAGGTGAGATGGTTAGAGAGAAGGGTGAGAGAGAGAGAAAGAGCGAAAGATGGAGAGAGAGAAGGGGCTGAGAGGGAGAGAGAAGGTGAGACAGAGTTAGAGAGAAGGGTGAGAGAGAGAGAAAGAGCGAAAGATGGAGAGAGAGACAGAGAAACAGAGAGAATGGAATGAGAGACTGGCAACCACTCACTGAATTTCCGCTTTGCTTTTGCAATGATAAGTAGAATCAAATGCCCGCATATCATTGTCGAATCCGGTGCAATTGCAAACGCATTGTTGAATGTTTCGAGTCAGAAATTCGCAAATTATTCCATTTCAGTCTTTCTCTAATCTATCTATGTTTTACTTATTTTACCTTTCTACAAATCTTATTTCAAAAGAAAGGGGAATGTCTTAAGCAATATACTTCCCCTGAATAGAATATTAAAAGCAACCTGGCGAGAGAAGAGACAGCTCGCGAAGAGATTCTGCGAGCGAATAACGCGACTCTGCGAGCGGCCAAGGGACTCGTGGAAGGCTCCCAGCGCCACGTAAGGTCCCGCACGGCGCCCCGATCCCTGAGACGTCGCGCTAAGTCAACGCATCGCGAGATAAGACACGGGACTCGGCGCGAAATCCTGCGGTAAGCAAATCTCTCGCTATACGCTAGATCCTACGATATGCTGAGAGACACTGCGATATCCTGCGAGATCCAACGGTATTCTGGGAGATCTTACGATATACTGCGAAATACTACGACATACCAGTAGATACTCCGATATTCAGCGAAATCCTATGAAATGCTAATAGATTCTGCGATACCCTGCGATGTCGCGCAAAATCCTGCGATATACCAGTCCTTCCTGTGAAATCCTGCGATATGCTAGAAGACCCTGCCATTCCCCCGTGAGATCCCGCGAGTTCCAGAGACAGACGACGAGTTCCTTCCTGAAGAAGAGGCTCCAGCGACAGGAAAACTCCCCGTCAAAGAAAAGAAGCACAAGGCGTCGCGTGAGAGAGGGCGTGTGCGTGCGAGTAATCATGAGAACGTGCGAACAAGTGGCAAATTAAAGGAGTCATTGTGGGAA